ACTCTTCCACAAAACAAAAACCAAAAAAAACAAACAAGCGCATCAGAATTCTAACACCCATTGTACAAGGTGAGGAAATACAGAGAGAAGGTTTGCTCTAGATAATACAGGATGAGTAAAATGTATTAATGGTGTGTACCTTTTACATAACAGGTGTTTTAAATTTTAGATTTTGTCTAAAATAATTTATTTTTAAGTAAACTGGTTCAAGTTCAATTCAAGTCCAGAGTCACTGATGTGAAGTCAAAGTCAAGTAACTTGTAGAACAAGAAGACTGAAATTAAGGACTGTAATTGGGAGAGGATTAAGAACTTTCTCTACATTGCATGGAACTAAAAGTATGTTTAGCAGATGACTCTACTGGAGTTATATGTCATACTGTTAAGCATGAATTAGGAATGAAACAATGAAAAATAATATGATAAGAAAAAGACAAGGAAAGATAAACACATAGAGAAACTCACAGACTGATTATACAGAGGCAAAGCAAGGTATGTTTACGTTTATTTACGTGAATAGGAATTTGGTATAATCACATCAAGTGCATTTTCTTCATTAAATAAATTAAGCATTTCCCTCCTTAAAATCTTTATACTTTTTACAAAGGTACTTTCAGCTGACGAGTATATAGATGAAACTCTGGATAAGCAGTCCCGAAAACACCTCAGTCTTGCCTGGAAAGAAAGGATACATGCAATACATACTGCTCTTCAGCTAAATATGGCTGACAGCCTCCTCCTTTGTATGGCCATCGGGTCACTCTAGGTGAGCAGCTCTTCTGGGGGGGATACTGGGTTTTTGCCCTGAGGCGATTAAAGGGTTGGCTGACCTCATTCTCAGAGGAGCTGGTGTGTTGTGAGTAAACACTTGGTTCAAGATGAAAACACAGGCTGCAAACATGAGCCAACCCTTAGTTGGTGATACCATTGTTTCCCCATTACCCTAGAAGAGTCTGGAGAGATGAGAGGCACCTCTTTTTTATTTTTATTATTTTAGATTTTCAGGGACTACTCTTGCTCTAAGAGGCTGTATTTCACAGAGTCAGGTGACCCAGTCAGATGTGCTCTGAATAACATCTGATTGGTTCACCAACATCATGATTGCAAGTTTGGAATAGTAATCCACACTGTTTCAGGTAAACTACATTATCTTCAATAGAAAACAAACATCTTGCAAAAAGTATCCCATGTGTATTTTCACATAGTTTCTCATTATGTGAGGCTGGAGACACTTTTAAAAAGCTTGAAACAAAACAGCGATGTTTAATTCCTATGAGAAGCAGGGAATCCTGTGAGGGAAAAACAAAGCAAAAAGAAAAAAATAAATATTTCTATAACACTAGTCATTTTATTTTCCTGAACATGTAGATTAATGTTACTGTCCCTGCAGAAAATTTAAAAATGCTTTCAATTGCATGTAGAGGCTTTTGCTTTTAAATGTGAGGATGAAACATGGGACTGAAGCTCTTACAACTTATAAAATAAATGCTTTTTTTTATTACCTTAATTCATCTGATGATTCACTTAACATACCAGAAAAAAACCCATAAAAGTCAAAACATACAAAAATTGTAGGTATGTGTCCTTACCTTTAATTTTTCTTTTTAAATATCTCAGCTATTTTGAGTTAAAAAGACGTTAAACCATGCTAAATACCCTTTTTGAGACAAATGTGACATGTATGCTGTGCAATGATGAAAATAATCAATGAAAATAACTGCAACAACTCTGATGCAGCTAAATGCTAAAAATAAACATACTTTGCTTATCAGTATTGCCCATGTTTTTAGTCAAACAAACTGCAAATCAAAACTTTAACTGCAGTTTCAATATGTGTCTTAATAAAGCATTAGCTAACATATTTTGCCACATATCTTAGATTTATTGTATATGATATACCAATGAAAAATTAGCACATAACTTAAAAATGGAGTAATGGACGGAGCAGACAGAGCAGCAGGTAGAATAGCTGCTTTATAGTCTAATACCCATAAATAAAATCCAATACCACCAACTGACTCACATCTAACTTTTTTTGAAAAAGTCCAGCAGTCTGTAATTCAATCTTAGCTGTTCTGTTAAGCCTGCAGAAGTATCTTAGAGAACATCCGAGATATGCTTTTAAAGTGCTAATAAAATAAAATGTTCTACTAAGTAAACAAACAGTGGCATGAAGAACCAAGGAGCATGACATATAGGTCTGCTCAGAATTAGGTTACAAACTGGACAACAGATCCTAGTGCCAAGAAGAAAAACAATGTTGAAAGAAAGACAAAAAAAGGTTATGGATAGAAGAACATCCCCAAGGACCTTGATGTTTCTGTGAACACAGACATACTTCTAATGAGATTAAAGGTGAACTTCAACCTCAATGAACATCAGTGTCCAATAGCACCATCTGTCATTGTTTGAGCCAAGGAGGACGCCATTTTTAAAAACATATCAATAAAAATCTAGATTGGAATTTGCCAAACTAGCCACAGAGCTTCTATGAGAATGACCTATTAACAGCTACTGCACCAATGTACAGTACATTAGCTCCATGTTCACAAAAGGAAAAATGAAGCATATCAAGGAAAGAACACTGTCCCTACTGTGAAACAAAGAGGAGGCTCTGTTATGGCCTGGGCCTGCTTTGATTCATCAAGCTCAGGATGTCTTGCATCTCTGCAGGATCCAAAAAAAAACTGTCTAGGGATTCTAGCGATAAATGTGCTGCCCAGTGACAGAAAGCTTAGTCTCAGTCACAGGTCATGGGTCTGCAACAGGATAATGACCGAAAACACAAAGCTAAAAATACCCATGAATGACTAAGAGGAAAACATTGGACTATTCTGAAGAGGCCTTCTATGAACCCTGACCTAAATCCTACTGAGCATCTTTTTATCCACTCATGAGGAGTGGATAAAAATACCTACTGAGAGGAACAGAAGTTTTATTGACAGTTACAGGAATCATTTGACTGCCATTATTGCCTCAAAAGGTTGTGCAACTAAATATTGAGTTTAAGGGGCCATCAGTTTTGTCCAGTCATGTTTTATTGGTTTATTTTTCATAATCATTCAATTGAAGCATGACTGAAAAGCAATGTCTGACTTTCTTTTGTTCATTTAAATAGACTTTTATTATTATTGCTTTTGTCAGATTTAAGTTATTTATGCCATTGTGAGTTGGTCTTTTATTAAACAAGAGGTAAAAACAATTTGGTCCATGTGTATATTTTTTTAACGTGTTTGGGCTGTGTAATACCAATTTTAAGTTTTGTCCCCTTTCACTGAAGTTGATCTTTAAATTCCTATAAAAAGCGTAGAAGTGTTACTGTTTTTGCAGAGAAAAGTGGTTCAATAAAGCTCTGACTTGTTGGGGCTGTATACAAAGCTTCTTCATATCATACTAATATATGAAGAAAGTCTAAAGACCACGTAAATTTTTGGCATTATGTTTATAAAACATAAAATCCCATTAAGCCATCTAAAACAAATACAGAAAATGTCTGTAAAACATGATACAAGAACCAAGTCTTAATTAATTTTATATCACAATAAAAAAAATAAAAAAATCTGAAACATCCTTAAAAATATACTCGCAATGCACAGACAGAGGCTGGAAAAGAGTCATAGAAAAATAAATAAGAATGAGCATCCTTAAAGGAGCCTTCAAAACATACAAACAAGAACATTTTAAACATGTGCATAAAGTATTTCCACACATTAAACACAACTTGTGCTGAAACAGTCAAAAGTCTTAGATTTTCAGTAGGAATATTTCGTTTCTGCAATTAGTTAAATTAAATAAAATTAATTGCTTAGATTCCGACCTAAATTAAGGTTCAACAATTAAGCAGTGCTGTCCTTTTCAATTAGATTTATAGTTTACAAAAAAAACTTCCCCTAACATCCTGTCTGCTTTACCCTGAATTTAAAAGGCGATGTTAGAACATCCACAGACTACCAAATAGGTACATTTTGGTCTTTAAATAAATATAGCAATTTAAAACAAATTTGTACAATTATTGCTGTTAGGGTTAGGGCTGTGTACTGATATGGCCGTCATCATCAATCAGCGAATCGCTGTGGATGTGTTGAGGGCTTCTGTTATAGTGGCCACCACCAGCTGCTTGTTTTTTACCATTGTGTCATTGTCCTGCTCCTCACTCGGGGTCACACTGTCAACTAAATTACACTACCATCATCATCATCATCATCATCATTTATTTTTATTTTTCTCCACAAAGTTAAAGAGCACATCACAACTCCACGGGCTTTAGGACCTACAGGATCCCCCCTCTGAGGATGGTCTTGTTTTTGTCCGTTACCTTCATGCATGTAATCATTGATTGTGCCTATTGTCACAGGCCATCTGTAGGGTCCCATGGGATTGATAGTGCTGATAGTGCAGTCTATCCCTAATTTCCACTTGCAGTTTAACCACAAACTGGTTTCATGATTTGAGCTGGCATTAAAAGGCAAAACAAGTTGCACCATCTGAGTGCTGAACAGGGATTTTATTGGTTTGGTGCATTTATTTATTTTATGGTTAATAGATTACTGCATTTTTATGAGCTGTAAAATTATATTTATTCCAAGACTTATAAAGTTTAAAGTAGATGTTTTCCCCCCACATTATTGATATTACCATGTTGACTGAAATAATAACCAAGAAATCACTTCCAACTTTACTGTAATCAGTTCAATAGTTCTTACTTATAGGCCTTATTTATTTATTTTTTTTATTATCTTTCCTCTTTTTTGTGGTTATTGCATATTTCTCGACTGCTTATTCTAAACTAATCCAAGACAAATCCCAAAAAAAAGACATTGATATTTAAAAAAAAAAGAAATTACGCTATGTTGCTGCAGCAGGAGCCCAGCCTACCCCCTGCCCTCCCTTTACGCGCCTCCTGGGCTCCTTTTTCCCACTGCTGAGAGGAGCAGGACGCGGCATCTGAGGCGGGAAGCAAATAACCTACAAGCACTTCCTCAAAAGGGAGAAAAAAAAGTTCACACTCACACACACAGACAAGTTAAGACTCACAGCATTTCAGAGCCCAGCGAAGTAACTGCAGGGAAGAACCATGTGGACGCGCACCACGGATACTTTATCAGCAGGCCTTTTTTATTTTACATTTTCTTTCACTGGGGGATATTTCTTTGATTTTCTGGATAGCAAGTTTGAAATAAACTAAATGCACTTTATCTTACGACCTGGTTTGCATAAATATACTCAGCTGGATTGAGAGGAACAGTAGAGGATATTTTTTCTCACTGAAACGCACCTGTGCGCCTATAGCGCACGGGTAATGTAAAGAACTGGGAAGCTATGAGATGCAATAAATTTCCAGTTTAAGCATTTACCATGAGAGGACTTGGCTTTTCTGGATTATGAAAGTCTGAATCTTAATGCAAAAAAAACGTGTGATTTGGACAGTATGCTGCAGGTGAACAGTAAGGAATACACCAGGTGCCTATAGGAGGAACAGCCATCATCCCGATTTTCTGAGCTTGCAGGTGAAGTCCAAAAAACTACGCAGTAACAGCTGTCATATTCTCCGGGATCCTCCTGCTACTGGCAGCAAGTGCGCCCTGCTCGGGTCTCTACTGCGCATGTCAGACTGCTGGACAGCTCCAGAGAGGGAAATTTAAAAACGGTTTTTGAAGGAATCGGGTCCAGCACAGAGGATTACAGTACAAGGGCTCAGGACCAGCTCCCACAATCTCCCATATAAACCAAAACAGGTAGGTTTATTCCAACTGATGCTTCTATATTTTAGGAAACAAGTGATTTTGGATGTAAATTTGTTTTTTTTTTATCCTTTTAAATGAGTAATGAAAAACATAATTAATTTTGCTTCATAGAAAGGTTGGCAGTAATGAAATAATATATATTCTCTGTATTGTGTGTAAGACATTAAGGTGGAATTACAAAACAGCCTTAAGATAGAAGATAGAAATGTTTTGTCATACCTTATTTTAAAAAAAATGAAGTTTTAAAACACCTTTTTATTTATTTCATTTTTTCCTGATCTACTTGTATTTTTTTCTATTTTATGTTACCTTTGTATTTTATGTAACTTGAAATACTACATTTTTTTTTGTTGTCGTTTTTGCAGTATACGTATATTAGAGCTGCATATTGCGATATGACTAGTTCTGCTTAGGTTGTTATTTTGCAGTTAAAAGACCAGTTTAATCATACATCTGACATGTACCACAGGAAAAGCTGCAACATACCCCAGGAGATGATAGAAGGTGGAATAACTTCCAGGATGTCAGGAATAATTGACAATGCTGGGCATCATCCATCTCCACAGGACTACAGGTATTATTATATGATATATAGCTTGATATAAAAAATATATCAAGATGAAAAGAAATGTATGAATCAAATCCTTTGAGGTCTTGCGGTAGATTTTTGCTATTTACATTGTCTATACTGGTATTAGATGGACAGCTCTTTTTATGTTTGTTAGGGTCCCATGAAAAGAAGCAAAGGCAGAAAAAAAAGCCCAAAGAATAAATGATTTTCACTCTGAATAGATCTGTCAGAAACCATCAGCTCTGTTTACACTCCTGCTGTCGGCGCACGGAGAGCCTGAGCCTCTGGGCTGCCCAGCACAGGGGGAGATGGGGTGCTCTGGGTCACCAGTGTGCACAAGTGGCTCCCAATTAGGAGCAGGGGTGGGGGGTGCTGTTAAAGGAAAGGCGGAGGGACAATATTTAGAGTTGTTGAACTCTAGGGTAAGGTTAGGATGGGACATGGAAACACCGGCTAAATGTTTTGCATCAGTGAGCAATTTCCATGCTCTACTGGGGACAGAAGGGGTGTGAGAACGTCCCCAATTTGTCAACTGTTGAATAGTTTCAACTAACACATATTCAGCTATAATAATAAATAATGATTTTGTATGCAAACGTTGGAAAAGGTACATGTATATTTGAAATTATGGCTGGGATTCCATATAACTGCTATGTACTTTGTTAGAATTAAATGAAAATTCATACCTGTGAGAAAAAAGGGTAAGGAGAATGAGATGTAAGGGGCACAAAAAGTGATCCTGTGAAGTGGTGCCTTAAATGTCTGCATGTGATTTCAGCCAGCAATGGTGTCAAAGCAGACAGTCAACACATAGCAACCCTGACCTCAAACTACATTCACCTAGCATGGCCCCCCTCCCCCCACCTCCATCTCCCCAAGTTCTCCGTTAGTGCAGGGTGATGGTGGGGGGTTGGGGAATGGGGGTCCTGTGCGGATAGAGGCTGGAAAGGGACAGGGAAGCAGATGGTATCCTATTTGTCCCTCTATGTGAGGGCTGTCATTCCAGCAGATTAATGCAAGGGGCCGCATAAAGAAAAGAAATGACAGAGACAATTAAGGAAGGCTCCTGGGAAGACAATAGAGACACGTGCCACTGGGCAGATTTGTCGTTTGGGACACAATAGGTGATCATTTTTCAATAGATGGGGCCAACTGTTTCAGGCAACATGTGCCGCCGTACCATGTTTCAAACGATCTCATGTGTTGTTTACTTATGATTCAGCCAATGGGTGAGGCGCGAACGTAGTCACCTGACATGGGACCAATTTTTTTTTTTTTATCAGAAGTTACGCTGTGTGTCTAGATGAAGAGGGGGGTGGTGTACCTCTCCACTGTCCACAGACCCAGTGAATAACTGAATTGTATATGTTGTCATAGAGACTGGAACTGCAGAACTTGGTGTGTTTCCTGAGAAGGCTGGAGAGGATTCAAGAGGATTCCTCACCTTTCATTAGTTTTCTTCAAGCTTTTCTATTTAAAAGAAATACTGTAGGCTGAGCGGTCAAACTAAACAATAATCCACTACGTTTACATTTTATGCAAGAAATGTAAATCATTCTTTGAAAATACTAAGAGTGAAAAACAAATTAAAATGTAATGAATCTAAGGTCCGAAACAAATAGACAAAAAAAGTCCACGTAGTTAATAAAGTCACAGTATTTTATAATTTAAACAGAGTTTATTTAACTACCTTACTGCTGATTAAAACTGTCACTTCTGTAAAACACTTGTGTTTAATCTTCTTATGCTTAATCCTGAATTGCTAAAACAGGGCCTTACCCAGCGGCTTTCATCTCTGTCTCCCCCCATTATAACCTATCAGATGCTTTTGTCTTTTTGAGATAAAAAGGAACTCTATTCAAGTGTTTTGATTTAAAATCCCTCTTCTGATCTATGTGTGTCTAAGCTGACAGTTGAGTTAACCTCGCAAACCTCATTTCCATCCCCCCTCCCTCCATTCTTGAAGGCTTCTGACCACAGACCCCTCCCAGCTGAGAGTGGAGGACCTCCCTGGGGACCTGCAGTCCCTGTCATGGCTCACCTCAGTGGATGTGCCCAGGCTACAGCAGATGGTTGATAGCAGAGGACACAGCAATGGGCCCTCCCAGGGCAGCCTGCTGGAGCAACAGACAGGTGAGGGGGCCAATATTTGAAAACTGCAATAGCTCTCTGGTTGGATAATTCAGGACAGATGTAATCTATTCTATTGTAGGGGGGAAATCAAGATAAAAAGATTATCTTTCTTTTTTTATTCTCACATTACAGCCTCAAAATTCGAAGTATTTCACAGATCTACAAAATACAAAATCAAAAAGGTTAATCAAAACTGTTACACATAAACATATCCTTGGATAGGCTTTTGAATTTAGCCATCTTTAATTTAACAGGATCCAGTGCTAACAGAAGAAGCCACTGTGCAAATTAAATAAAGTCCATCTTTGTGTTATTTCATCTCAGTATAAAACCAGCTGTTCAGTGAAGGTCTCATAGGGGTGTGACAGGCGGAATAAGGATGTGGACGAGTTTAAAGCAACATACAATAAGAGTATAACAATATGAGAAAGAATATGCCAAAACTATGACCCCACCATGGAATGGGAATTCATCTAAATCCACAGCTAGAGGAGAGCATGAATTACAGACAGAAGCTAATGGTAACTCTGGCGGAGCTGCAGAGATACACAGCTTAGCTAAATACCCTGACAGACCATCTAGTATGCAGCAACACATGGCTAACAAAAATAACAGATCCCTGGACACTGTTCATGTTTCTATATGTAAGCAGATGAGAAGGAGAGGTGAGCAGGAGAAAAACAAAAATCACAACTCTTACTGTTTTAAATATTTGTAGTGCAAAGTATCTCATAAGAAATGCATTAAAGTTTGTTGTTTTAACGACAAAATCATAATTTTTTAGGTTTGGTGAGCTAAAATTACCAATGTTTGCCTTATCAATGCACCTGTTGATATTCCCCTTTATCCAGGAGGGTGTGAAAAGAAATTTAATTTGAGAGCTCCAGCCTCAAATTATTTTAGGCTTCTACTGGCCATGTATTACAGAAGAGCAGAGCAAAAATATGAAACAACTCAGGTTTCCTTAATAGCATCTTTCCAAGAACGTAACTTAGACATTTGTTTTTTAAAAGTTTTTAATCCAAACAAAAAAAGTTTTAAAATGCCTTTTTAAAACCATTTGTCTTTGGTAGGACTTTGGCTACCTTTGTCATTTTCTGAGGCACACTGCCATTTTTACAATCCAGAAGTGCACATCAGAAGTCAGATAATTTAACCAGATTCTCTTTGACTAAATAGTCAATCCTGAATATAGTTTTATTTCTAGCCGTTTTGCATAAATTACTTCTGACTGCTGTTGGTGGAGATGTTTGAACATTGCTCTTTGATTAATTGATAATTTTCATGTTTGCCAATAAAGTTCTCAAACACAGAAATTTTTAGACTAGAAGCTTTGGAGGAAACCTAAAGTCTGTGGACATTAGACATAAACCTAATTTAATGCCCTCTTTATCGATATTTTAATTTAATCACCTTCCCTAACGGCTAACTTTAAACCTTACAGTGAGTGAGAAACCTAAACCTGAGGTCAAAACAAGCCTAAAAATACACCCCAGATGTTGCACAATGGCTGCCCACTGTTCTCCTTTGGGGGGATTAAGTGCAGAGGACTGATTTTATTGTAAAGTAAAAAATTGCAACAACAAATAATAATAATGATTATTATGAGCAAATGTTACGACTCAGAACAGAGGACCCAGTATTCAGGTAAGACAGACAGTGGGATATTCAAAAAGAGTTTATTAAAATGAGGGGCTGCAGATCTTCAGTAGCAGCGGCTAGGGTGTCTGAAGGAGGAAACTCTGGAGAGAGGAAAACACAGGTTAGTGACCAAGTAAATCTAAAGGAAGAAGATTATGAATGTGAGTCACTAACCTGGTCAGTCCATAGCCAGAGAACGAGTTAGGATCCAACCAGTGGGCTGCCAACAAGATGCGGTGGGCAACACCCAGGGTGTCCCAGATGCTGCAGTCCCAGAGAACATGCAGGAGTCTGAAGCCAGGTCAGGCAAACAGATCAGAACAGGAACAGGGAGGCTCAGAGAGCCAGGAGTCCAAAGACAGTTTAGGCAAACCATTCAGATGGGAACAGGCAGGCTCAGAGGTTGAGAGGCAGAAGAGGTCAAGATCAGGTAATCAGAAACACTCAGGTACACTAAAAACGCTCTCAGCAATGGCTAGAGAGAACAAGCTAATCTGGCATTGATAACTGGAGCAAGCTCCTTAAATAGAGGCAGGAGCAGGTGAATCAGAGGAGCAGTAATGAGCAACCGGGCAGAATTGGACAGGTGAAGGAAATGAGTAATTAAGCCAGTCATCACTGCCAAAATCATGATTCCAAAAAGGGATAAAAATCCATCAAACATCTGAAACATATATCTGCTGATCTATTGTGTGAGCTGTAAATTTTCTTTGGGAAGCACTTTTTTGGTACTATAAACTAGTTTAATCTTTAAACTGCACTATATTTGTATTTTTGCCATGGAATAAACCACATAATACCAAAACAAATGTTTACAAAAGTGTGAATCAGATGGAGCAATAGTAAGAACTAATCCTAAGTACAGAATGCATTTATACGGAACTATAAAACATTCATCTGAAAATAGTAGGCCTGAAAAGGTTACAGTGAAGTAACGAGGGAGACAAAACTGTTGCAGGATTTTGTAGATATTAATCAATTTAAACGAAAACTGTATATCAGTTCTACCTCAATTTTATTGGTGCAATAGGTATAAGATTCCATGAATGATCAAATCGAATAACAGTGTGGGTTTTTCCTGCATTATATTATTTTAACTAATATGAAGGCTGAACAGTGTATGCATAGTTTTGATAAGATACACTTGCTCAACATCCAACACTGGAAAAACGATCTAGAAATAAGTACAAATTTCTTAAATTTAGTGTATTTATCCTTAATTTGAGTAGGTAAATGAGATAGTTTGCCAATGGAATGAGTATTTTTACTCTTAAAATAAGATAATTAGATAATATGCACTTGAAATAAGACAATGCAATGTGTTTTCTTTTCTTAAGTGTAAATTGTCTTGTCCCATTGGCAAAATGTATCTTTTATCTCCTCAATCCAAGAAAAAAATACCATTATTTTAAGAAAAAACTACTTATGTAGCTTTCGATTATTTCCAGTGAACCAACTATATTTTATTTTAAAGACAGATTTGTGGAGCTACATTTCATTTCCCTACTTAATTCACCGTAGCAGAAAACTCAAAATAGTCAAAGCTGATTTTCTATTTTATTACTTTTCTATTTGTCTGTGTGTTGGTTCTTGGAAACTGGAAAGAGCACTAGCACCTGGATGAATAGGCACTTTTTAATGGGACTGTTATTTGAACCTTTTCTGTGTAGCTCAACTAAATAACATGACGATACCAGTCAGCCAGAACTCCGTGCTGCACCTTCAGAGCAACATGCAGCACAGCCCCCTGGGTATCAGCATAATAAACACCCACAGTGGAAGTGTGAGTAATCACAGCACAACATGAATTAAAGGTCATATTTATGGTGCATAGCTTTGTTAAAAATGAGCTTGTGTTGGTTTCCCAGATGTCTCCTTTCTCCATGAATGGGCTGCCTTCCCCTGGATATCAATGTCCTACCTCAGTATACCAGCCTGCATCTCAGCAGGTGTACTCTCTCACCCAAAATGGACAACAGGTGAGACTCTATGCAAGGACTTATTAATATGTTAAATACCATTTTCATAATAAACTTTGAAATTTCAGTATTTTTCTCAGTACGCCTAAAACTTCTTCTTGTTTTTTTCAAATAAAAAAAAACTCATCACATAGCAATACTTAAAAGAAGTCTTTACATGAAATTATATGTAATAAATGAAATGTCAGCGGGGAAAAGAGCTATGAACACACTTCAGGAAATGTAAACAATACCTGTTTACAAGTTTTTCCTGTTAATGACAACATAAACACATCTGTTTGCTAAAACTAACCACACACAGGTCTTTGTTCTGATTTCGACATCCAGTCACTCAAACTTTCTTTAAATGCTAACATTTTTTGGGTTTTCTTCTATGATCTATGCATTATTTTAATAGATTGTCAACTGAATAAAAGCATTCTCACTATATTCAAAAATGTTATGAGTTAAAACATTCAGCCTGAACCTTTCAACATGCTTAAATGAGCTGTTTCCTCAGCAGAGGAGTCTTGTGCAGCAAATAGGCATACAGGCAGTTTTTATAAGAGCATTACTTATTGTTTTATTAGAAAAGTGTTAGGTAAAAAAAAAAAAAAAAACTTTTATGGCTATTTTTTTGGACTAGAAACTTCACCAGGAGCATCTGGTTTATGGTGAATAGATTTTCTTTAAAGACAGGATTATGGCTCAAGTATTCCTCACTGAAGCATTTAAAAAAGTCCGTAGATAATGCCATCATTATGTTTTATCAAAAAAATAGTTTTAACTGTCCATTAAGATGAAACAAGCTGAAACAAATGGGCATTCATGAGAGTAAAGACTGGCTTCTAAACATCAACTGATTTCAGGCTGTTCTTTGCTTTTTGTCCCCTTTTTTGTTATTTTTCTATATCCTTTTTATCACCTAACAGAATTAGGCAACTTAATTTATAGACTAAATTGTTTTCTTTTATTTTTTGAGTGGGTTAATTGACTTTGTGCCAAAATCTGATTTTAACTTTATGTCAACAGCCAAATTATAAACATATTTACAAAGAAAGATGTTGTTGTTTTAAATCCTTGACTATGAAAGACTGAAAGCTTCTCCATTCTCTTCTCTGGTTTAGTGCTCAGCAGGTGGACTTTATAGCAATGTGTCTTTCAACAACCAAAGTCTTTTCGCACAACCTCGTCTAGCCCCACAAGAACAGGACCTGCAGCCCAAATCTTTCCCCAAACCAATTTACTCCTACAGGTGAGCAAATACACAAAATAGCCTCATAGATCTCTTCATTCATCTGATCTATTTTAAACAAACTTCCACTCGTATTGTTTTCTTCCAGTTGTTTGATTGCCATGGCTTTAAAGAACAGCAAAACTGGAAGCCTCCCTGTCAGTGAGATCTATAGCTTTATGAAGGAACACTTTCCATATTTCAAGGTCTGATTTTTCTTTATATTATTAATAGACACTGAGTGAAAATAAGGTACTGTCATGTTAGCAATAAAAATTCAATTAATTGTGTAATACGTTGATTTTTAACAGACTGCACCTGATGGTTGGAAGAATTCAGTCAGACACAACCTTTCCTTAAATAAATGCTTTGAGAAGGTGGAAAACAAGACGAGCAGCTCTTCCCGTAAGGGCTGCCTGTGGGCGCTGAACCCTGCCAAAATTGACAAGATGGAGGAAGAGATGCAGAAGTGGAAACGCAAAGATCTCCCAGCTATTCGCCGCAGCATGGCAAATCCAGGTCAGAAAAATCTATTCAGAAACTTTAAAGTTAAAACATGTTTTCAACTTAGTCTGACAGTCTGTTCTGCTTTCCTCCAGACGAGCTGGACAAACTGATCACAGACCGCCCAGAAAACTGCAGACGGAAGCCTCTGGAGCCCGGCATGACCCGGCTGGCTGGCTGCACAACTGGTCTCCCTCTGTCTGTGCCTGCACAGATGCAACCTCCGCCCATCGTCACACTGTCTCTGCCATGTTTGCCCATGCACCAACACCACCAGCTTCAAGCTCAACTCCAGGCTCAGGCCCGACTGGGCCCCATGTCCCCTGCTCCGGCCCAGACGCCCCCCCTCCACACGGTCCCTGACCTTTCCCACAGTCCACTCACCCAGCAGCCCAGTAAGCCTCCTGATGATTTTTACAGTGTGCAGAGTGATACAAACACAGAGGTGGATGCACTGGACCCCAGCATCATGGACTTCGCCTTTCAAGGTAAAAAAAATATTAAACCTTTTCCAAAAAAAACAAATGTTGGTTTATCCGTCCATTCCTGCTTAGTCCTTGTCAGGGTCGCATTGAGGTTGGTCCTTATATTCCGGAGTCTGTGGGTGAGAGGTGGGGTTGAATATATTACCTAAATTCTAAAAAAAAAAAAAAAGAAAATTAATAGTTTAATTAACTTAAAAAGTCAAATCAAAAACATGATTTAAAGATTAATTTTTAAAACAATTAATTCATACATGAATTTGTTGTATGTTAAAACAATAATATGCCTGTTAGATATTTTGTAATCATTTGTGGTAAGGCTTTAAAACATAATGAATTAAATATATACTAAATGAAACATAGGTTGAAAGATTTAATACAAATGTTAAAGTAATTATGAACAGAGCCTTATTTATCCCATGTATCTATTGCTATTAGATAGGCTGAGGTGGGAAAAACATATAAGAAAATCCAAAGTTGCACAGCATTGAATATTTTATAGTTTTCCTAAAAACTGGTCCTACAACTAATGAGCAGAGAAGCATGAATTCCCTCCTTTATCAACAGCATGACAGTTTCAGACCACCTAACTTTTAGTCTTACAGCCATTTCAAATGAGTAGAGAATTAATTATAATTTCAGAATTACAGTAATTTTATAAACTTTTTCAAAAATATACCAGTAATATCACTATATTCATATTAAGTTTAAACAGTTTTTTTCAACTAATAGTATATGGTTTAAACGTTTATTAAATCTAGTTTCTCAATTTATTACTTTTCTGTTCCAATTTATAATAACCAAACTGTTGATTATTCATGGCAATAACACCCTAAGTAATGCTTTTCAGGGAACTTGTGGGAAGAAATGAAAGATGACAGCTTTAACCTGGATGCTTTGGGCACCTTCAGTAACTCCCCTCTGCGACTTTCAGACTGTGACTTGGGATCAGCGATCCCTCCAGCCTCCAATGGAGTGAGCGGGTCGCTGTCAGATGTGCAAGTGACGGGGCTGTACACCTCATACACCTCACAGGATCCCCTGTCCTCCCAGTACATGGGCAGCCAACCCAACAGCAAACCCATTGCCCTGCTTTAAAAAGGCCAAACTGTTTCCTAATAATCAACTTTTTTCGTTCTTCCCAATTTTTGGATGGCAGCTAACAAAGTGGGATTATTTACGAAGAAGTGAAAGTTCTAGGAACTTGGAGAACCTTGACGGAAACTTTTTTTTTTAACAATTAAACTGATTTCTAGGAACTAAAACCACATATGACTTGAAAAAAAAAAAGTCAGACCTGAAATCTTTAGTTTTGCCAAGCAAAGACTGGAAACCTCTATAAGTACAGTGTGTGGAGAACTGCATGGAAGTTAGTTCTTACCTGTTCCTCTATTGTTCTCCGTTCTGTGATGTAGCTCAAAAACTCTTGTCTGTTGTATTGTGCTAGACTTTATTGCTGTGATGTTTTATTTATATTTATAAAAGACAGCTGGGGAAGATGATGACTCTATCAATCTTTTGCTGTATATATTTAATTGTTTGAATTTGGTGTAACCCACATCTTTCCAAAACACACCCAGTAAGTCAGCTTGTACTTGGTGCTCCTCCACCTTATGATTTACATTTCTGAAATGAAGATGTTTGATTTGCTATTTGCCTTGATAAACATAAAAAAAACTGGATTTTCAGGAACTTCATTGTTAAGATGCTGAAAATAAAATAAATTATTAGGAGCATCCCATACAGTTTCACAATAACAAGCCTTTTACACTTTAAGTGCATCTCAGTAAAGTCTAATATAAGGTTGTTATTTCAGTAATTCCATTAAACCAGCCAAACTACTAACTAATATGTTGGTGTTTCTTACAAACAGTGGTATATTTCAAGCATTTATTTCTCAAATTTGATTGTGGCAGACAGATTTTTAAATTATAATTCTGTTTCTTAGATAATTACAATATCAATAAGTCAATAAAAAATTTTCTTGAAATCAGAAATATCTGCATGTTAAAAGCTTGTCCATGAACTGGATTCAATCTTTGGTTCGGGCTCGTTTTGCATCAATTACTGCATACAGCGTAGCATGGAGGCAGTCGTCCTATAAATATGCTGAGGTGATGATGAAGCCCAGATTGCTTTAATGGAATCATTTAGCTTATCAGCATTCATAGCTCTGGTTCCATCTATCTGCTATTAAACTGCCAAAAAAGCTACTGTTTCGACAACTGTTCCAAGGCATGGAGACAGTTTTAGGGCAAAAATGCCCTTTAAGGACTGCCATAAAGTATTCTTCCTAGACCTGGATATCAACATTAGCTGTTCAACAGATCTCCTATATGTGGGCAAGCCTTTCAGGCCCGGGATGGTTTGTTTAGCCATTTCAAGACCCATAATGACTGATATATAAAGCAACATTGAGTTTTAGCTTTCTTAAAATATGAGAGATGAACATTATGCCATTAAAATCTACTGGTTCTCAGTGGAGCTTAGGACAGGCCAGTTGCACAGTGATATGTCATTTAAGCAGGTGTTGGTATAATCGGTTGTGAGGATAGGTGCCCAGTCCTGTTGGGCAATGAAATCAACAATTCCCAAAGCCCTGTCTGCAGAGAAAAGCATAAAACTCTTCAACATTTTCTTGCAGACAGCTGCTCTGACTTGCGACTTCAGAAAACACCCTGGTTCAATACTAGTAGAAGACATAAGTCTCCAAATCATTATTGACTGAGCAAACTGCAAACTGAGCCTTAAGGAACTTGGATTCGGTGCCTCTCCACCTTTACTCAAGACTGCTTTAGTTTTAAACAAAATGCTAAATTTTGCTTTCAACTGAAAGATGACTTTGGAACATCCTTCAGTGCATTTGACTCCTCTGTGAGACATAAACTGTCCCTGATTCAGGAGTGGCTCAAATCAAAGAATGGGGCGGATGTTCTCCATGTCTCTCTTTGTGGTGTATTTTACATTTTCTTCCATACATTTACCTTACAATCAACTTTATATATAGCCGACCATTTTTAATAATTACATTTTAGGGCTGAACAATTTTGCCAAAAATCCAGTTGCGATTATTTCCAATCAATATCACTATGCTATATATATAGCTATTTTATTGCAATTTTCCTTTGCACAAAGCAAAAGTCTGAGGATGTTTTTACTCAAGGGTTTAAGCTTACTTGTCAATGAGTCCACTGTTACAGGACTTAACTGTAACTTTTGCATTCTGTGCGGCAGCATACCCATTTTAGGTGTATTACCACCACCTAAAAGGCTCAAGGGAAAAATTAAGTGTCTGAGGGCCGGATTTATCAATGTCCAATTTTGCGTGCAATAATTTGCGCTCGCAAACTGGAATTTTGCGCGAGGGGCTGAACCATGGTTTGCGGGTGATTTAACAAGAGTGATTGCGTAACTGGTGGCAGGCGCAAAACTGTTGGATTTTATATATACATATATATATATATATATATATATATATATATATATATATATATATATATATATATATATATATATATATATAAACAAACAAAAAAACTTTGGCAACCTTTATTCCTTAAGGTGGTATGTGGCTGAATTTCTACTTCACTGCAGTAAAAAGAAAAACAAAAAACAGGTTTTTTGTATTGGCCTGTAGAAAAATGCACATACCAAATGGCTCACAAGAAGTGACTGTGGATGAGATTACTGTGCGTAGCAGCATTGGCATGTTCTAAATGTTGGCATTTAGAACGTCGGACAGCACTTCTGAAAAACGAGATTGGGAGATCCCAGCTCTCGCTGCAACCGTACGTTGGAATGACCAAGATGCAAAAAAGTGCAATGTTGCAAGGAGTTTTGTGATATCTGGTATTGCGTGGGTCCTCCTTGTGGCTGGCTCCAAATCCATTCGGAGTTCCCCCAACAGCTCCAAAATGGCAATGCTGATAAACAATATGTTTTGATGATCATTTCCTCGTTCATTCCAAAAATATTCACACGGAGTGAAAAAATGCATTCTCTGTGTCTCCTTGCTTCATTTCGATGTCTCCTTCTTGCGACAATAACCGCTGCCATCCATCCATCCATCTTCCTCCGCTTATCCGGGGTCGGGTCGTGGGGGCAGCAGCTTAAGAAGGGAGGCCCAGACTTCCCTCTCCTCAGCCACTTCTTCCAGCTCTTCAGGAGGAACCCCAAGGCGTTCCCAGGCCAGCCGAGAAACATAGTCTCTCCAGCGTGTCCTGGGTCTTCCCCGGGGCCTCCCCCCGGTGGGACGTGCCCGGAACACCTCACCAGGGAGGCGTCCAGGAGGCATCCTAAACAGATGCCCAAGCCACCTCAACTGGCTCCTCTCGACGTGGAGGAGCAGCGGCTCTACTCCGAGTCCCTCCCGGATGACGCTGCCGCTGCCATGTGTGCGCAATTACGCATACAGACCATTTGCACCTTCTTTTGAAACGTGTTAAATATAGAGTCAGATACAGTTAGCAAAACTGCTTTCAGGTTTGATAAATCACTTTGCGAGTGCTAAATTAATATATTTACATGTTCTCCTCCCACAAAACGCACTTTTGCGTGTAAACGCCCCATATTGCATATTCATTGCAGAAAAAGTACTAAATGGATAAGAGGCGCTATTTAGCACGTTTTAAACACCAAATCCTTTTAGCACGCTGTTGATAGATCAGTTTGTACATTTTTTAGCGTGCGCAGTGAAATAGCTCACGTTTTTATAAACGCAAACCTTTGATAGATCCGGCCCTTAGTCTTGTTAAATGTAATGTGACTAAAATTGATTGCCTCTACGATTTGAAAATAGTGTTTTTGTAACTGAAATTATAATGCCAATGCAATTAATTTCCCAGCCCTTTGAAGGCTTACCCTCAACATGAAGGGTTAAATAGACTGTCTGCTGGATGACCCTGCAATTATCAGTCTTCCACATAATTGTGTAGAAATATAACACTGCAAAAATTGAAATTAGTATTTTATTTTTTTCTTAAAACAACGGCTTTTTTTTTCTTGAATTGAGAAGATAAGTATGACAATTTTCCAATGGAATAGACAATTTGCAAAATAAGAAAAAAACTATTTTGTCTTATTTCAAGTGCATATAATCTTGTTTTAAGAGTAATACACCTCATTCCAATTGCCAAATCATCTTATTCACCTATTCAAATCATAGGTAAATGCACTTAATTTAAGAAATTTGTACTTATTTCTAGATTTCTAGTTTTTGCAGTGAATATTTGCATCAAAATTTCCTTACAAACTAAATTTTGTTTTTATGAGCTGGGTGCTATAGTAATAAAGAATGTAATATAGCAACAGCAGAATTCATATAATCTATATATGACTTACACAGTTTTGCATTAAATTAGTGAAAAAATGTAGAACAGATGATAAAAACTAAGTAATGAAAACACATACTAACTCCTTCAGCATTTCATATTCTTGTACTTATGTTTTTTTGTTTGTTTTTTAGTCCAATTCTGATACTAAAAAGGACCAGCTTCCACTGTAAACCTTTATATTAATCCAGGTAATGTTGTTGCTACTATAAAATTCCGTGATTTAATGTAGTTTGCACAACTCTATTTCCTCCTGCAGTCAAACGATTGTGACAATATTTCTACAATAATAATATCCATCTGCCAGAGCATTCTTTTTTGGCTTTATCAAGGATCTCTTGATCAGTCTTATTTTGTCATAGTTCACAAAAGTTAAGTAGTCCAAATGGAATTAAGAATCAGAGTCAGTTCTGTAATCACTGAGTCTTTTCATCTTAATTCAGCAACACATTTACTAAAGAGAGAAATAAAAAAAAGGTGTGTCAATGTGCCAGGGCAGGAAGTGGTTTGCTTACAGGAGCAATGTGTGGGATGGACTGAGCTTATTTTTCACAGCTGATATTAAAAGACAAACATACAAGTTCTGTTATAACTTTAAATAGAAATTATAACTGGGGGGCAAACAAAAATATAATTTCATAAAGCCCCAATACACTGCACACAATGAAATAAGGCAAAACTTAAGTCATTAAGTGATTGACAACATATGGACTTAATACAGCAAAGTGAGGAGTGCATTACAGTGTTAGGCCGAGTAGAGAGGAAGGCTTCCAGGACTAAACAGGTGAAATTTCTAATTTCTTCATTCAAACATTCAATACACTGTCAAAGCTTTGGATTATGACGAGCATGAAAAGGCAGCTCAACAGGACAGATTTTCCATTACTGTTTAAATGTGCTTTTCTTTTTTTTTGGTACAAAAGGAACATCAGTATTCCAGCCCTGAAATTCTTGTCTACATTCTATTAGTTTTAGCTCCTGGGCCTTTCAACACTTGGGTGATTTTGTGCTTACACATTTCAACAGTACAATAAACTTAAAAAAAAAGGAGTATTTGTTCTCTTCAATGGCTGATAAAATCCCAGAGCTCAACTGGTGTCGGAACTGCTGGTGTCCATCATGGCAAGCAAGTGTGATAATGTGGCCCTCTGGGAGGGAGCAATGTTCTGGCTCATATGAATGATGCAGTCCATGGCTATGTCAGGGTTGGCCTGCACCAAGCTGCACACAAGAACAACAATGTCAAATAAAAAGGCGGAATACTTGTGGAGAACAGACATGCATAAAGTACCAATATACAAAAATCTGAGTTGCTTTGTCCATGACCCCTTAAGAACTTTGCATTTCTGAATCCTTCACCAGTATAAAAACTATTTCCATTGAAGAGATAGAAAACAATCTCAGCTCAGCATAATACGGTAACTCAGCGAAGTTATTATGCTCCAATGGAAAAATTCCAAATATACTAAATACCTTTTGTTGATAGAGAACCTTTGGAAAAGGGTCTAGCTTGTCTGGG